AAAAAAAAAAAAAAAGGGTGTGACTGCCATTTCTGTAGACATACCCCTTAAACTTGCTGACTATCACTTCTGGTGTGGCTGGGTCAGCACCCTGCTCAGCTACTGAAGGGCTTACTCAAGAAGCCCTAGCGGCAGCCAGTTAAAAGATTAAGGTTAGCTCCAATTGCACATGCACTGTAACACTTCACTGCACCCCTGTTTTTAAAACATTTTTGTTACCACATGACAGAGATCTAATACCAGGGGACCATGGGTGGATAGACTCCGCCCATTTTTATGATCAAAATTCTTTCCTTAAACGTGGCCTGGTTTTTAAGTTGAACTATGTTGAAAGAAAGATCCAAACCATCAGGTAGGACCTGTTTCAGAGCAACACGGTTTTGCCAGTCTCCTTGCTCCAGCCCTGACTGCTTCACAGACCTAGCGCAGCACACCAGGCACAACCCCACCTAAGGAAGCGGAGTTACAGCAGAGAAACCAGTAGTCCATCCTGGTTTACCACTTAAATGCCACACTTAAAAGATGTTATTTTTTAACACTTGTATAGCACTAATTATTATGTACAGCTGCGACACACCCCACTGTGTTTGTCCTTCTTTACTAAAACACACCAGTGTTAAAGCAACTGTTTGTGCAAATACAGTTTGCAGGCACATATCCATTTATTTCTATAGCAGCAATCACTGTGGAAATATGAGAACTACCACATACATGACAGGGAACTGCAGTTCCTTGGTTTATCACTGAAGGAAATGGCAACATAAGGCCTGCTTTTAAACTAGTAACTGGCATAAGATGTTACCACCTGCTCAGATGCCACAGGCTTCAGGCTTCTGAGCACAGGCTTCACCTGGTTGAGAAATGGATCACTTATTCTTTTCCCACTCTTCTGAGTGGGAGTAAAGATAAGGACAAAGGTAACTGGGGTGAGGCAGCAGCCCTACCCGTGTGGAAAGAGATCTCAGCAGCATCCAGCTTTTTTTAAAGTCTGAAGTTAACAAATAAGATTTGGTTGCTTTGAATTTTGAAATCTTTGGTGCTTCTGACCTTCTACTGAAGCCAGGTGGAAAATAGTTCACTATACAAGAACTATTTCTTTTTTTATTCTCTTTTCTAGAGCACCTATTTGTTTCCCTGCCACACCACTTCCATACTACATTGCATAGTTCGAAGGACATAGGAATATGTGCTGAAAATTCCTTATAGCAGATTGTATTGATCACAAATAAGTCTACCCCAGTCCTCAGACACCCAACACCTAATAAAAGTCACAATATCTCAGGAAACCCTGTTGTGGATATGACTATGTCTATGATGACATGGAAAATAGGGTCTAGTAGGTTTAATTTAAATCACAAGATAAGCCAGCGAGATGAACACATCCTTTCACGTAGGCTAGCTCAGGCCTATCAGTACAGGCTCAGCTTCATGTAATGAAAGGCAAAATACTATTACACTAAGAAAAAAAAGTGATCAGAAGTGGATGATTTAGGAGAAAAGGGTTGGTATCAGCATTACCATCCTGGAAAAGAGTTTATCTTGTGATGGCCCAGTTAACCTTCTGCAGCTATAGTGTAAGGAAGCCATATACTTAATACATTAAAGGGGACAAGCAGAAATGCACAGGAAGTTTACATTTTGTTCAGACATGTTTTTCTTTAAAGAGTTTTCCTGCTGTGATACACATGGTTTAGGAACAGCCTTCTAATTATGGTTCAGTTCTGTAGATTGGACTCAAGTCACTGGTACAGCTGGCCAAAAGGTGACAGTTCTACTCCATTTATGACTTAGGAGCGTTTGGGGGTTTGGTTGTGGTCGATGTTAAGTGGAATGAGTTCTTCTCCAGAGAGGAACATGTGAGTGTACAAACTGAGGAAGAGATGTTTCAAGTAAGAGTACAAAAGCCTGGGACAATAGAGGCTGCTGCCTAATTCAGGATGAGAGCTGCCCCAGAACAGCAGGAAACCTCTCCCTCATCTTCCTCAGTGTAGACTTCATTAATATTTCACAGGCTTGTGCATTTTGTGCAGTCTATTAATGCCATTTTGATTAAGTCTCACATAGCTGCATGTGATTGACATACCTCTAATCATCAGTTTTAATCTGGCTTGGGTTAAACAAGTACTGTAAAAATGGCATCCAACTTCATACAGGCACAGAAAGAATGGGAGAAGTCTTTTGTTGCATCTCTGGGGATCTGGGGCAAAAGTTCATTCAAATTTGGCAATGGTGATCACAAAATAAACTAATTTAAGCCTTGGCTGGTCATGTCTTACAGCATTAAGAAAAATTAACCTACTTAAAATCTTTCTGGTTCTGAAAAAAATACTCTCCTCTTAGTATTGTGCACTCACATTATTTTATTAGCACTTCCCTGTTGGGCACCTTTCCAAATAACCTAGATTTTCTTCCAGCAGCACATGTGAACAGGCTGCACAAATGCAATTCAGGCTCCCAGCCAACTTTTAGGTTTTAGGAGCAGCCAGTCAGCTAAGTCAAAAAAGAAAAATGTCATTTGTGTGATCGTGACAGGTTAGAAGGGCAGCATCACCAAACACTTGGGAACAGAACTTTTCTCACTTTGTACCATTTATGGAAAGCATCACTGAGGCACAAGAAACCTAACTAGATCAATGAAGCCATAATCCTGCAATTTGAAGCTATGAAAGACTGTGGAACACAAGTTGAAGCTTGTCATACAGTTAGTACAAAACTTATCTGCTTAATGTATTATAGCTGAATCTTTCCCCAGTGACTAGTCCAGCAGAATCTTAGATTATGGGAAAAAATATCCAAGTTCTCTAATGCTTCTCTATATGGGGAATTCATTTCCTGCCATTTGAAATACATTTACGGTCAGATAGAAAAAACAAACACCAACTGTGTGTTATACCCGTACACAAAGAAGAAAAAAAACCACCCCACATAAGGCAAAGATCATCACCAGGGCCTGAAAAGGAAGAATAGCTCTATTTCCAGAATCTTCCCTAGGTGCATGCTTGGTCTAATGAATAAGCTAGAACATAGCATGGCACTGAGTGCTATATGGTACCTAGGCAGCTCAAGGATCAACCCTGCTCAGACAAACTTAAAAAAAAAAAAAATCTTGCCTCACAAAGTTAATATTGAAATTTAGATCCTAGGCAGTGATCCAGGTTGCCTTATCTCCAGCAATTCCTGACCCCATGGATATGCAAACAGTGTGTGTCTCCATGGTCAAAGTTCCTTGTGCATATCCACCTGGGCAGTGATAATGGCAGGAGTGCTTCACTGTGGAGGTTTCAATAGTGGCCTTCTGCAGTCCAGCAATACTGGATTTGAGAGCCAGGCCACTCTGGATGAGATTGTATCCTGCCTTCCATCTCTTTTCCAACAAAGCTGGGTCATCTGTAGCCATAGATTTGCGATTCCCTTCAGTGGTCTGCAGGGATTGTCATGTGGAGCCTCAGTTCCTAGGCACCCTGGACTACCCTGCTGACATGCACCAGGTTTTAGGAGTTGCAAACCCTACCTTGAGCATCCAGTAACACATGTACCCATTTGAAACCATGAATCAGCTTCCTACCACACAGAGTTAAATTCCAAAGCAGTCAGACTCCCAGCAGCACTTTGAGCATAGCGACTGTCAAACAAGGTGAAACTAGTCTAACTTGGGGAAAATTCTTGGCACATAATGTCACAAGTGCCTGTAGGCGTGCAAGTACTCACACACAGTATCGGTAATAGCAATAACTTGTGATATGTTACACTTGACACAGGATATACTTCCTACTACATCTATTTTTCTTAGTTTTGGGAATTCAGTCTAGCATATATATATATATAAAAAAAATACAAATGTTGCCATTTCTCTGATGAATTATCTACCCTTCACATTAAAGACTGCATAGAAATATACTGTGTAGTTTAAACTTATCCTGAACATGACTAATCAAAGCAGGTAAAGCTAAAGAATAAGGGAAATGGAAAACGAGAGAAGATTAGAGAAGAGTGACGCTTTTTCTGCTCCAGATCCATGTATTACACTGGGAAGGCTCAATCACTATTATTCCCTTTATCATTAATAAGCGGGCATTCTTTCCACAGCAAATTAAGCCTGAAATTGCTTTTTGTTTTGTACTCACTGTGTTATCTCAGGTGAATCTAGGTATTCCTAGCTTAAGGTTCCCAAGAGAAATTTCCTTTCTAAAATAAGTAATTTGGTGCTTCACAGGAATTATTATTCAATCTTCAGATATATTTGAAGAGTTCCATCAGTCATGCTTCATGCCTAGGCAATAACAGCAAACTACTGCATCTGACTCATTGCCAGGGAAGTTAAAGCCTCTGGGTTTATTCACATGTAGAAGACAAAGCTCTCTACTTAAGAGAGGTCTCAGGTGTAGGATTCTTCACCGTGAGGTAAGGTCTCCTAAAGCCCTTCCACCAAAACAAGGGAACTTTAATCTTGAAATTCCTCAAGAAATACACACGTATTAGGTCGTCTTTGAGGTATGATATACCTTAATAATAAGTAGCACACACCTGAGAGAAGTTCACTCTAAACCTCTGGTAAGTGTATTTGGTATAAATGACATTGTAAAAGTTGAAACGTACCTCGTCCCCATGCATATTAGCAACATACTTGAACTCTGGAATGCCAATCTTATGATGGGTTGGAAACCTTCCCAGAACAAGAACCCACAGGTCTCTACCTTTAAAAGGGGAAGGGGAAAAAACATTTTTTTAAACAAGTGTAAAATCATACAAACCTTAGAGAGAAAAAAAAAGAAAAAAAAAAACTTGGTCATTGAGACCACCGTACAAATTCTCATATTTCATTGTTGCTCAGTTAGTCCTATATATAGCATATCAAAGTAGACTGTGGGATTTTGGGATTTTTATTCTGTGAGTACTTGCTAAATTAGTTATAGGAATAAATGTTTTGCCTTCTGACCAAAAGTGTGTAGTGAACCCTCCAATTTCAAAAGCATTTAACCAGTGCTAGAAAATAGTTTGGGGATTTTTTGTAATAAACATTTTTCAAATCAAGTTTAGCAAGCAAGATCTTGTCAAGCAAAGTCACCAAGCAACTTAAGAGTATTTAAAATAGAAGACACTCTTCCTGCAAAAATATTAAATCATGAAAAGGGTTTTCTGAAGTACATACAGATGTTTCCATTAGCACAAAGAAAGAGCTTTTTTTTTTTATTAAAGACAACACAGAAAAGCTAAACACATTCATAAGTTACTGCTCAGAAAAGAGAAGATACTAGGCAGAGCTGTATCAGAGACATACTCAAGAAAAATCAGCAGGGAAAAAATTAATAGCAACAGAAAGAATATTAGTTAGGACCACTAAAGCTGCACAGGAAGCTGAACTTTAAGTAACAAAATAAACAAACAAACATTTTGGAAGTCCTTATTTAAAGGGGGTGGGGAGCATTTTTTATTATTATTTTTAGTGATGTTGTGGCATTTCAGATCTCATCTGCAAAACTATGCTTCCCACTAGTCTGCTCAATGAGGTGGAAAGCTCTAGTTTCAGTAGGTGGCAGCAATGAAACTAGATCGGTTCCTTGATAATAGCGGTCACAACCTATAGATTGCTAATGCCCAGACCTTGCATGCATGCTGCCTGTCCCCAGCTCTCACACAGGGCTTGTTGGGACCTATGAACTGTCTCAGCAGAGTCCAGCCATCATTGTTACTTACAGCAAAGAAGAACACAGGTGCTGCTATATGCAGTGCTATAAAAAGCATTATTTCCTAAATCTTTGTAGATCATCAAATCTGCAGTAAATAAACTCTGGAGCATAACTGTTTCCCAGAGGTGAAAGCCATGACCCTCATGGTATAGCTGCAGTGAGCCAGTCACATCGCTAGAAAAGGAAAACAAAAATGCTGTGGCAACTGCAGTACCTTCAGGAATGGGAGAAAAACATTGAAGAGGACAGAAGGAACACTACAAGATGCACTGAAACTGCACTGAGACCTGATGGTGTCCCACCTCTCTCTTCTAGATAGAAGTGGATACAGCTGAACTGTAAAATGCATGGTTTCCTACAGAGAAGACATATACCTTCTATAAGGTTATAAATTCATTCAGCCTTGGAACTGCCCATTATCAGCATGAGTACCAAGCATGCAGACAGGCTTCAAAATATCTTAGAGCCATTGGGTTCAGTGAATTACATGTAAAGCCCTCTCGGAGTAAGTGAAATAAGTGCTGATTAAAAGCATTAGTTTCCTCAAATCCTTGATGATTTCCTATACAAGCACAAAGCAGTGACCTAGAAGGTGAGATAGCTTAGTGCAGGATCAGGACATTAAACTAACCAATATACTTACTACATTTATATTACCTTTCAGTATATAATTATTATCTAATATATAAAATACCCAACCAATCACAGCAGCCAAACAATACTGTAGTCCCTAGAACATGAAGCATCTTATCTCGCCAATAACCAGACATTAATATTAGCCCCTGGTTTTATTTGAATGGAAGCAGATCACAAGGGCCATTTCAAATCCAACTACTAGCAATGACGACATCCACATCTATTGCATACAGACTTTTTGGATCATCTCGCGAGCCAACGTAGAACAGCACCATACTCTTTAGTTGCTTCCCCATAGTGGCACTAGCACTGATTCAGTACTATATATACTAAAGCAACAAGAGTCCAAGTACAGCTAAAATGCTACAGTTATTTCTGTCATTTAAGACTTTCTACAAATAATATTGTATTCTGATTTTTAAAAAAAAAAAAATTTCCA